GTCAAAATTTGTTGACTGTTTAAGTGGTGCCACATGAATACAACTGAACAGATCTAAAGATGTTCCTGAACTTTGGGTTTATTCGAACAGGACGGATGGATAACCACAGGACTTTTCCCCATATGATAACTACAACACAAAATAAATTAAGACAGATCACTGTCCCAAACCTAAAGATAAAAGTGTATTTACTGGACTTGTCTTGTCAGTGAGGAGCAAAGTACAATTAGAAGTGCTTGTTCTGATGAAAAGTTAAACTGTAAACAGCAGCGTAGTGAATAAGGATCTGTGTCCACGAATCCTCAGCAGTGACAACACTTAAACATCATAGTTCAAAATCCTTAATGCACACCTTTCTCTCCACGGTGTTCAAATGCTCTTAGCTGTTTAAGTAGAGGAAAAAGTCTGACATATTTCATGACCATTAAATGTTAGACAAGGCTCTGAAAACAAGGTTACGGTTACAAAAAAAAAACCTCTGCTTGTGCGCACAGACCCTAAATCACAACAAATAAGACAATAGTAAGACAAATTACTACAAAGTCTTGTTACCGCTCTTCATATAACAGTGTGACAAAGTCCTGAATGCAGACTGCATGTTAGTCCATCAAGGTCCATCTGAGCTTTAAATAAAATACACTCAGCTTTTCCTTGGATTTTCAGAGTTGCTCAGTTCATACAGGAACCGCAGCAGTCAGGGTTAACGTGTCGCTGTGTTGCTCCTCCATGTCAGCCATTGAGACTAGTCGCAATTTATTCTGAGGAAAAAAAGAGAAACAAGACATTTTTAAAAAGTTTGGATTTTTATAATTTTTTTTTACCTAGAACATAAACAACATAAGCAAAAAAAGGATTAGGGCTGTGCGATATGACGATATATATCAGATGACGATATAAAAATGTCTATCGTTTCATATTATACACTATTGTTTGTTTTGTGGTGTTGCAAAATAAACTGTTTACGGCAATACTTTTTTCATGACTTTGATGGTCACTGTAGTTGCTATATTATTTCTTAAAGTTCTCTCTTTCTCTTATACTTATAATAACCACACTATGGACGGACAAGTGAGTGTTTTTATGCGTACTTTCGTTACCAACAATGACGCTTAGTCACCACGCAGATGAAGGCACAGAGAATACCAGCATGGCCAGCAAGGATGAGACAGAACCAGCTAGCTCCAAACAGAAGGACCAGTCAAAAGAAATCGAGGACCTTATTGTTAAACGAGGGGCTACCTCTGTAGCATGGACATGGTTTGGTTATGAAAAGTCTGACACGCTCCAGAAAACTGTACTATGCAAATTATGCCACAAAATGGTCCCCACCACCACTCAAACACAACAAACCTCTTTAACCACCTACACAAGAATCACATGAAAGAGTTTTGAGAGAGTTTACAAATGAAAAGCAAAAAAGAGCTGTCAGGTGCTCAAAATAATCCTTAGACTCAAACGTTAGAACAGGCTTTTCCTCGCAGCACACCATGTAATAAATACTCAGAAAGATCGTCTAATCGCCTGAGTCAAGGTGTGAAACTGGGTGTGGGTCCCAATCAGCCAGTTTAAATCTGGGACTCCCCACCATTTGACCTTAGAACTGAAGAAGCTTCACGGATGAGAGGTGAAATGTCTTCAAGTAACTTAAAGAAGTCCAGACACTTTTCTTTGCAAGCTGCTTTGACTACGATGATCTGAATGACTGAGAACCTTCACAGACAAAAAAACTGGTTGAACAAACACTGAAACATTTTTTTCTTCTTTGCCTCGTCCGTCCCCCTTTGTCCTTTGATAGTGTTGTCTTGTCATTTGTGTCAAACAGAGCATCAGTGGTGCCTTTAGAAATCTGTTCTTTCTGCACTCGAAGTCTTGACACAATCCATAATTGGTTGGTGTAAATTATAATTCACTGAAGGCACAGAAAGAGACTAAACAACCAAAACAAACCTCTGGAGAGAAGTGTGAGAAGCTGACATCAAGGTTTCTAAGAAAGAAGCTTTACAGGAAAACATGATAAACTAGAATTTGAGACTAAACAACCAGACAATCTAATCAGAAAAATGCTGTGCTTTTAATGAGCAGCTTTGACAGCGACCAATCAAACACCAGCAGCTTCGTGCTGACAAACTCATACTTCAATCAACTGCGTTTCAGTCACCTTTTGTGAGAATTCAGACTTTAACCTGTTGTGTTTAAAGCTGCTCTCTTTGATTAAATATCAAAGAGAGCAGCCTCTGTCAGTGCGCTCCCAGTAACTTTCCATCACCAGTGTGTGAATGGATGGATGACTGAATGTGTAAAGCGCTTTGGGGTCCTTAGGGACTAGTAATGCGCTATACAAATACAGGCCATTTACCATTTAAATAGACAGTAATCAGTTGAATAAAATATTAATTAAACTAACTGGCATCAGTCAATAGTTAGGCAAGCAAGCAAAATAATTTGGCAAGTTGGAAAAACAATCAATCCATCAGTGGAAAAAAAATATTAACTTGTCAAATTATTAAAACATCAAATATATATCATTTGTGTAAATGTGAAGGAGTGTCTTCCTCCCCTCATCCCCAACCAGCAGATGACTGCACCTCACTGCACATGGTTCTGCTGGAGGTCTTGTCCTTTTAAAATGGAGTTTTTCTCTTTCTATTTCTCTTGGCTCTTGGCGAAGGCGGTCGCACTTTTTCTCTTCTCCTCCTTCCCCTTATCTTCCCTGCTTAGCCTCTTGTGTCCTTGTCTTGTCTCGTGTGCATTACTGGGACTGTCGATCGAGGACGCTGAAGATATCTACCTATTCGGAACCATGATAACAGGGTTCTTGCTGATCGGAGCTGGCTTGGCCCTGGTTTATCGGAGAAATAAGAGAGCGGAACCAGCTGTTCAAACCCCCCCAAGGCTGGCCGCTGGGATTGAAACGATGGCACGAGGCGCGACCTCTCACACCGAATGCAGCATGGTTAACACCTTGGAGATGCTTACAGCTGCCGTGAAGACTCAAACTAACACCATTGAGCGTATGGACGGGGATGAGTCTGCCTACAGGAGGGAGGTTGAACGTCTGGTGTCCTGGTGCAGCCATAACAACCTGGTGCTAAATGCCCAGAAGACAGTGGAGATTATTGTGGACTTCAGGAAGCACACAGCCCCACTCCTCCCCATCATCCTGACTGACACCCCCATCACCTCTGTGGACTCATTCCGCTTCCTGGGTACCACCATCACCCAGGACCTGAAGTGGGAGCCCACCATCACCTCCGTCATCAAGAAAGCCCAGCAGAGGATGTACTTCCTGAGGCAGCTGAAGAAATTCAACCTGCCAACACGGACGATGATGCAATTCTACACTGCAATCATCGAGTCCATCCTCACCTCCTCCATCACCGTGTGGTACGCTGGAGCCACTATCAGGGACAAACAGAGACTGCAGCGTGTTGTGCGCTCTGCTGAGAAGGTGATTGGCTGCAGACTCCCATCTCTGCAGGACCTGTACACCTCCAGGACACTGCGGCGTGCAGCTCGGATCTCAGCTGACCCTTCTCACCCTGGAAACAGTCTGTTTGACCTGCTCCCCTCAGGCAGGAGGCTCCGGTCCATTCGCACCAGAACCTCTCGCCATAAGAACAGTTTCTTCCCCTCTGCTGTTGGACACATGAACAATAACCATACGACTGACCCTACGCTGTGTCACTGCATCATTCCATGTTTGGCACTGATCACCACCTGCACTCATGTATATATCTTTCTACGCAGCACTTTTTATTCTTATTCTCATGTATATCTCATGCACATATCTTTCTACATAGCACTTTTAATTCTTACTCTTATTTTTATTTTTCTATGACAGTATGTTTGCACTGAAGCACCGCAGCAATTTTCTAATGTTGTAAACCTGCTCAACATTTGGCAATAAACCCCTTTCTGATTCTGATGATGGGATACATCGGAGAGGGGCCTGCTTAAAATGAAACCCTTGAGCGAAAGTTGGATCACATCGCAGAACGGATCACTGCAGTTGTGAGGTCTCAGAATCAAAAGACTGACAACACCACGGAACAGAAGTTTGATACCATCATGGGGAGGCTCGCGGCTCTCCAACGGGAGATCGAGAGACCAGTGTCAGAGCTGCTCGCATAAAGGAGAAATCAACAATATTCAACTTATGGCCACCACGGCGCCAGCTGCTCAGGCCCAAGGCTGGAGCCGACCAAAACAACTCCCTGATAACGACTGTGTGATGACTATTCTTCCCATTGCATGCAAGGACACCTGGATCGGCTGGAGGACTGTTTACTTAGCCTGATAGAGCGAAGGACACTGTCTCAGCTGAACTCTGGACACACACATACACTTACACTGATAAGCACGCACTCATCCCCCTCCCTTTCCAAACGCCTTCGATGCTTGTTTCCTGTGGGGGAAGACGGCGGGTCTGCGTGCCGCGCTGAAATGGTAGCGCTGTGTAGGACGACTGTTGTGTTCCTTCGGATTACCTCCCACCCCCCTATCCAACCCCTGTGGCTTGTCATGTGCTCTAATGTTGTGATGTGGACATTAATGTGCTCTCTGTGCAGAGGAGTTTTTTTTGTTTCCTGTTCTAATGCTGTCCTCCCATAGGTGCCCAGCGTGAGAAGAGGTCTCTTTTTTTCCTCTTGTACTTTTCCCATTGTTGTGTAATTTTTCAGTGTTTACTCTGTAACGCTGCCGATCTCCAACTGCATTCCCATGTGATGTTTTTGTTGTGTGTGTAAGTTGGGGGTGTGTGTGTGGGGGGGGTGTCCTATTCCTCTGCGGGGCAACCTGCATATGACCAATAAAGCATTCATTCAATTCAATTCAATTCCTTCCCACTGTCACCAAGTGCTTACTCACAGGAGGTTCTTTAAATGTTAGGGTTTTCTCTGTACTATTGTAGGCTCGGGATTGTGAAACATATGAAATAAATGCATACAATTTGATCTTGTAATAAAAAATAAACAAATCAGAAAACAACCAGAAAAACATGCTCAAAGTGCTGAGCTTCTTTATTTGAACTATACCAGACTGAGCAACTCATCAGAATCGGAGTTTCTGCAGCAGAAACCTTAAAATGTTACATCTACAACACACCTGATACTTTCTGATATTGAAGCAGGATTTTATCAAATAATTCATCTGTCTGTTTGAGCAGATATAATGTGAGAAAACTGCCTTCATTATTTCCATAAAATTACCATATCTTTAATATGACTTCACTCAGCTTTCTAAAAGTTTCACAAATTAAAACTAGAACGCAGTATGGTTATGAGCAGTTAGAAGCTCAATACGTTTGAATCGGTGATCATTTCAAAGAATTTAAAGGATGAGCTCAATAATAATCCCTAAGAATCTTCTAATCAAAGCTCAAACGAAAAACGTCAACGATTTTGAGCCTGTGAGGGGTTTTTAGACTCAGAACTGCATCCTCTGGTGGCTGTGGGAGGAACTGCAGCTGAGTTTAGTAGAGCTTCATGGAGGCCTCAAAGAGCCGACTCAGATCCTCCACCGTGTGCGCTCTGGGAGACAGCTTGGTCACTCGCTCCTGGAAACAAACCAGAAGAAATAAAACATAAATCAACACATGTATCCAAACAAATATCTCCTTAACCCTTTAAGACCTACCATAGAACCAAGTCCGCCAGAGCTTATCTTTATATTTTTACATGCTGTGGAGCCATTTTTGGGAGCATTTCAAGTTGCTATACATCAATACAACCATTACAGCCTAAATTTAAATAATATGTATGAATTAAGTGCATAGTAATTACATAAATTGTAAAAAAGTGCAATAAACTACAAAAAAATTGAAAAATCGTTTTTGTTTTTTAACATATATTCCTAGTTAGAGAAATTTAAGAGGCTTATCCCTCAAAACTGTAAATACAAAAAAGTTGCACAAAATAGTTTCTCACCACAGGAAATTTATTTTGAGTGTATTCATAGTTTTATTTTTGAAATACACCAATTTCTATACACTGCAGGAAAAACGAAAATAAATATTATAGTGCAAATTTGCAAAAAAGCAGCATGTGCATCAAAATAAACTATTTCCAGCAGTGCAATATGAGTCCTAAGCATCCCAGAAACGACACAGAAAGTCATAAAGTCAAACATAACTTTTAAAAACAGCAGTATAAGCTCCTGAGGCCTTGATGGTAAAAAACTACATTTCCGCGAAAATGACGCCACTTCCGGTTTCGGGCAGGTCATGGCGGACATGCGATAGTTCGTGCTGATGGAGTAGGAAGTGTTACAAACAGTTGATCGGATCGGCAAAGCGTGTTTCTGGAATATTATGTTTTTGTTTCTGCAAGTGCTTTTTATGCAGTTTTTGCAAAGCTATATGTGGAAGGAAACCGTGACCTAGGACAAGCTGATGGCATAAGATGTAAGTTCAACTCCTCCGGTTTCATATGAAAAAAAAATTATTGCACTAGCTTACATGGTTGTAGCGCTACCGGTATTTAAAAATAGTTACGCAAAACGGAGCGTGCCAGCTCTGACAGGTTTTAAAGGGTTAAAGCCATGTTACAAATAGCACTTCCTTGTGAAGGACACAGGGCCAGGGTCCACCCTGGCCCTGTGTCCTTCACTATCTCACATTACATCACATTTGCAGATATGAAATCAGCTAATTCAAAGAATCAAAGAAGTCTATGAATAACAAGGTCACATAACGCAGTCCGAACATGTCACTCAAAAAATAGCTTGCACAATCGAGCATTAAAAGATTACATGGGGACAAAACACAATACTACGGGGCCTTCCACTCTGTCTGGACAGTTTAATACCCTTCTAACATTCAAACCAGAAAACAAATTGCACATGTTTTTGAGGAAAAACATACAAAGCAAGTAGCCTCTGAGTTCGACCAGGATGTGAACCCAGGACCTCTCACACCCTAAGCACTAAGGCCGTGAATAATCATCACAAGGAAGCAAACTGGAGATAGAAGTGACATCAAAAGAAAGAGGTTGATGTCTTAATGTAAACATATGGGATGACTCAAGAAATTCACAGTTTAACCCAGGAGTACACAATTGAAGGGGGACTCTGACCCACCTGAGGGATAGTTCCTTTCACTAGTGCCGGGATGTCGTCTTTGGTGTATCCCACAGCTCCCAGTCCATCTTCCACGTGCAGGTCAAACAGAATCTGACGCAGCGTGTCGGCCAGAACGGCACCCGCATCCTCCCTCTTCACCTGCCGGATATCTGCACCTGAACATAGCGCAGAGAAAGTCTGTTACTGCACAATTTTTAAAGAGTGATGGCAGTTTTGGTGAATTTGGATATTTTCTATTGATAGCTGAAGAAATAAAGAGCTACTACTGCAAAAAAATAAAGAAAGAAAATTACTTTTTTTCTATTTTAGACTTCTTTAAAAAGGTACAAAGAGCCCTTAAAAACCTTATTTTTGAATACCTTCAATATTCTTAAATAACTGAAAAGTCTCTCAATGGAGGCATTTAAGGTCCCGCTGACTGTCTTGGATGTTTGATGTTTCACTGTTTGTGTGCCCTGTTGTTGTTGGAGGTTCCTCTCCAGTGTATTTCTGTCTTTTTTTCTAACTGAGTAATTTTATTTGGCTCATTGAAGTCTGGAAACCTTTTGGTTTGGCTGGATAAATAAAGTAGACATTCCACACAGTCTCTATTATACTAAATCTAATATGGCCTAGTGTGAGGCGTCCAGGTACCGAGGATCTCTGCGGCCTCAAGGTGGCGCTCCGGACACATCAGGGCTGTGAAGTTGAAGACGGCCGGAGACGTAAGGACAACGGAGAGCCCGTGAGGCTGAAAACAAAGTTTAACAGAACATTTTATTTAAAAGCTGCACAGGTCGAGTATGAAACAAAGTAAAGTTCTGTGTGGAGTTCCTCAGGGAACCTGCACAGGTCCATCTCAGTCAGAGGTGTAGTGTTTTGTTTAAGCACCAGAGCATTGGCTACGCTTGAGTCATCCATCATTCAGCTCTAATTAAGCAAAGTGATCAAATGTCAGAATGAATTTAAGAATATGAAGTCATCTGTCTGACCATCCTCATCAGTTCTTCCATGCTGCTCACAGCTCTCTCCCTCCCTGGTGTCTTTTCTCTCAGTCTTTCCAACGTTGCAATCTCTCTACTTCACTTATTTCTGCTCAATTTTTAATTCTGCATTATTCTCATCACAACATGTGAGTAATTAATAAAATATCACTAAAAACTTTATAATAATGCCAGAGTACCTCAAGTTTTTTGTTGGTGAGTTTGTACATAAATGATTTACCTGAAATTTGTACCTGTAGTGTAACTTACAAATGTTTGCTAATGATATACTTTTATATCTATATGTTAAAAACCAAGAAGCAACAGTCCCTTTAAAATAAACAAACCCATAGCTCTTCACTCACTTCTGACCCTGCGTGTTTATAGCTGAGCCCTCTTCTGCTGAAACCAGCAGAACTGAAGTTAACTAAGTTTCAGGGTTTTAGTCTCATTTCTGCACAGAAATCGGGTCACAATTTAAATATTTTTGTGGGACTTTGCTCAAAACACCATTCTCCTACAGTGTCTTCTTTCTATTAGACTCATACACTTCAGATAGAAATGTGTATGAACCTCATCTGTTAATGTGACTGTGTTAAGATAAGAAGGAACTTTATTGTCCCACGTGGTGAAACAGTACTAAATATAGCAGCACTTGCATGTGAAAACCAGCTCCAAACCTCGAGAAGTAAATTACTTATCTAATTAGTAAAAATTTGTTTCCCTTAATACAGCTCCAGCAAACATTCAAGTACATGATGATGTGGCTCCAAAGTACAATAGATGTTGGGACAAAGGAGAGCTTATAGCGATTTGTTTTACAAGTACTTGCTGTTTACTGGGGCCGAGGGTAATAAGTCATACTCTGAAAAATGGATCATTAACAATTTTATGAGCCTGAGGAAAAAACTGATTTCTTGTATCTTGATTGGAGAGATTGGTGCTCTTTCATTTCTATGTTTGCATATTTTCATTGCCGTTTTTACCAGTTTAATCTTCAGTCTTGACTTTACTGTAAGTAAACCAAATCAAGCTTCTGCACCATATCTAATCAAACTTTAAAGCACTGCATTATAAAAAAATACCCATAACCTTATCACTACGAACGATGTGTGTTAGACTTTAAAAAGTACCTGCAGAAAAATAAAGGCACGCAACTGTCCACATGTCACAGTAACAGCACCTTCATGTACTCAGGCCTAGAATGAGCGATAAATTGTGTTCGTGGTACAGGCCAGCTGCTTCACACAGAGTTCTGTTTGTAATAATGCAGCTCTCTTTTGGATAAATCCTAAATAAATAACCGTGGAAATGTTTTTTTCCCTCTTGGAAAATGAAAATCATCACTCCAGCTGCACTACACCAGTGATCTCAGCCAAGAACATCTGTTTGCAGTGCCAGCTGTCAGTAGCGGTTTTTGATACGGGCGACACGGGCGGCTGCCCGCGGCGGCATCGTGGTGGGGTGCGGTATCACGGGCATTGGCAAAATAAAAAATTGTTCGTACTCATGCTGCCCTGACATCAGCCAGCGCATATTGGGAATGGCATGGGCACCGATCGGCTTTCTATTGTGGCTAGCTTGACTGTGACTTCGTAAGTGACGGCTCACTTGACCGCGGTCCCATTAGCTGGGAGTTTGCAAGGTGCGACTGCTGCTTGAGGGGGCGGGGTGGGACAGACACCAGAAATTATGATACAGACTTGTGATTTGCACCGACGCTTTTTCGAAATTCTGTACGCGAAAGGTGGGTGCACCTGCTCTGCTGCTGAAGTCAAAGTAAACTTTATTGTCATCAGTATATAGAGAGACAAGACGACGAGGCTCCAGTTACAGCAGTGGAAGTAAACAAACAATAAATATAAGAAGAGTAAGAAAAATAAATATACATTTCAGGACTCAGGTTAAAGTGATCAATAACAATTTAAAATTTATAATTTACAGTTTGATGATTTAAAGTCTCACACACAACCTGTCGACAGGGGAGGGGGGCCAGCTGCTTCCAAATAGAGCACATTTCATTCATAATGTTGTAAATCCAAGCTCATTATGTATTCATGATTTGAATCCTGGGTTGTGCAAAATCGCAGAAATACACCTTAGACAAAGCAAATCTGTGAACTAAGATGTAGGTCTATTAGGTTATGTTGTGGTGATCATCGAGTTGGGGGATGGGTGTTCATACTGGAGTGTAAAATTAAAACCAATGGAAGATGGACAAGAAAAGTTCAAAGTCATCAGGTGCTCAGTTTAGAAAAAATAGAAAAGAAGAGGAGGAGAAACGAGCAAAAGATAGAGGCAAGCAGATGTGTGATTGGATAAAGGCGGGTCATCCTGAAACAATCAGAATCAGAATACTTTATTAATCCCTAAGGAAATAATGTGGGTTACAGTTGCTCCAAAAAGAAATGGTAAAAATAGTAACAGTAACAGACTAAACTCAAAACAATACATTATGTTACAGATTTTAATATTAATGAGTCGTTGTCAATTGTTGATTTGTCCTGTTCTCATTGTATGACGAATTATGATGGCTGTTTGGTAGCCGTTTGCATACTATGCATACTCTCTCTAACTTCATATGTGTGTGTGTGTGTTTCTCTGGTGAAATTCAGTATGGTTCCGACAACAGTTTTATGTTGATGTATAATCCTTAATATGTTTTATGTGTGTGTGTGTGTGGCGCCCAGGGCGCCAAACAGGCTTTGACCGTCACTGCCAGCTGTGATGTCCAGTAATGATCACTCACCACTAGGGGGTGCTCCACGTTGTAACCCTTGGCTGAGTGAGTCTTGACGTTTCCTGCGATGGGATAGGACATCCCATGACTGAAAGGAGGGAACCACAAACAGGTTTATTTAGAAACGCTCACGCAAAGGTCTGGATCAGTTTAGCTCAAATAGGAAAATATGCACGTTGGCTATGGGAGCTCAAATAAACTGCAACATAAGACCAGTCCAACAAATAGAAAAACACTACAAAAGCACACAAAACACATTGCAGGAGGGGGCAGTAAAGTTGTATGTCTCAATCACATGAATCATACAATACTGCAGATACATGTTTGCTATTAGCTGTATACCATTAGCTTGTTACTTTCATCACATGATTGACTCCACAAAAACACTTCTGGTTTGTTATCTGTTTTCTTTTTTTTTGTTCTTCTGCATCGTCTGCTGGTGTTTCTACATTTTCAGTGTATTTCATCCACTCATCACTGTAAATAAGGCCTTAAACTGTCCCTAAAGTTTCAATGTGATGTCACCAAAGTGTTAAAGAACACCTACAATCACAGGTGACATTTTCAAAACACGATCAGCTGTCTGTACTGCAACACTGCAGAAATAGATCCATGAACTAATGAGCTAAAAACCCTCTTCAAAGCCTGATTTCCTTTCTCACTGATGAAGTTCAAGGAAACGTTTGCAGTTTAATAGAAACAAATTAAATAATTAAACAGATTTCAAAAGAAGATCAGCTGATGAGCACAAACAGCCTGCATGCAGGATTACAGGAAATCTCAGTCTTAGTCTTACCACAGATGAACCCCGGCATTCCCAAAGCCAATCCCGGCAAACACGCTGGCCAGGTGCATGCTGGAACGAGCCTCCAGGTCCTCAGGGTCTCGCACAGATCTGTAATCAATCAATCAATCAAGACTTATTTCAATTACAAATGAATCCAGTTGAATGAAATCCATGTCATGGATATACTTTAGTTGTAGTTGGGGCCGTACCGTTTCATGTACTTGGCGACCACGTGGAGAGCTTGGCGGGACCAGACATCACTGATGGGGTTGCTGCCCTGGTAGGCTGGGCGGTTGATGGGGTTTGTAGGGCAGGGGCTCCTCTGGTCGTAGGGAAGGGCGGTGTATGACTCCAGGGCATGACTGAAAGGCAGAGATCAATCAGTGTGATGGAAGTGTCTCACATCAGGTTGGCAGTATCTCTACTTCTATAAAAAACATGAAGGGAACACGCCACCATCACAGCTAATAATAATTATATTAATACTAATAATATAATGATAACAAAAATAATAATGATGAATCAAAAAAGACAGAAAATGAATAAATGTCCTTCATAAGTACAGACAGACCAGAGGACGTCGAAGCCACTGTTGGCGGCGACTCTCTCAGGCATGCTCAGTGTGTGCGTCGGGTCCACGATGCCCAGTGTGGGTCTGATGGCTCTGCTGGCAATTCCTGAGCATAAACAGCCAATCACAGCTCAGGGTCCATCATAAGAACTTGGATAATGAATAACAGCTCCCGCAGCTTGGTTTCTATTGGCTGATTTATGATTTCTATTAAATCTTCACTGACTGTCTTTCTAAAACATCTCAAAGGGGAAAATCAACTTCTAATATGCTTTTATATCCCTATTTTTATACCTGTTTTGGCTTTTAAGGGCTCGTAGTCAAAAATGGCGACACCTGTGGTCTCACTGCCGGTGCCTGCAGTTGTGGGAACTGGATACAAAAACCCAAAGTTAGCCACAAAGATGGAGGAAGAAGGAAAAAAAGTGGGACGCGTCATACCTGCAATCAGCGGTTTCACAGCTCCAATCAATGGCTTCCCTTTGCCAATCGGAGCATTGACAAAGTCCAGGAAGTCGGCATCGGGGTGACACGCGTACAGATTGGCCGCTTTACATGTGTCGATCACTGAGCCACCGCCCACCGCCACAAACGCATCAAAGGCGTGGTTTTTAGCAAAGGAGATGGCATCTTTAAAGCTGAAATTCAGCAGAGATCAAGCTGAGGTCATTTCATCTGATAAATTAACTTATTCATTTACTTACTGATTGTCTGCCATTAACACTGCTTAAGTATTTCAGCACTCTGATGTGCACACGGTTCATTCTGTGAGGAGGAAGAGTCATGTGACCCTGTGAAACGCCCCTATGTAGGTATGTGAGCCGACTCAGAGCCAGGAAAAAGCCTGGCTCTGATGAACTTTCTTCTCTCCTCTCTGATGAGACATTTTGGACACAAAGACATGTTTTTTTCTCTTCATCTGACAGGCAATCATTAATCAGACCGTCACTTGTGACAGCGACCTCATTGAACGCACCTGGAGTCTGTTGGCTCGACGCGGACATTGTCATAGACTTTGTACTTGACTCCGTTTTTCACTAGAGACTCCAGAACAGCCTTCATTGGAGAAAGTTGGGACAAGTTCCTGTCTGTCATCACGCAGACGTTTTTTGCGCCGAGGTTCTGCAGGTCCTGCACGCAGAGAACAGCGAACAGCCACAATGATAGGAAGGACAACACAGAGAGCCACATTGGTCACTCCTTCTCAATGCATCACATTAAAAGAAGAAAGAAAAATTCCTATCTGACCATCACATGACAGCAATGAGGAGGATGAAGATGGTTACCATGCCGATCTCTTTGCTGACTCCTTCTCCATAGCGGATGTTAGAACTCGCCATCTGAAGGAAATAAAAAGAGAAGTGAGTGCAGTACCTCAGGTGCTAATGGAAAAGGGATATAAGTGTGTAGTTTATCAGTCTGTTTATCGTTGGGGTAAAGACTGTCCACACAAAGACGAGCAAGTCAAGACTGATGGTAGTACACATAAAGTTGAGGATTGTTACCTCACCCACAGAAATCCTTATGACCCAGTGACCTTGCGCATTTATCCAAGATAGATACACCTAAGTATCAATCTGAAAATCCTATATCGCCTCATTCTTGAGTTACTGTGTTCACAAACTTGTGGGTCTATGCCATGGCCTGTCCAACAGGGTGCCAATAATACCCCATCAGCCTTTTACGGCTAAGGAGTAAAAATGCCACTGTGCAGACTTTGCATGAAACAAAGATGAGATGAGCAGCATCAAAGAACTTATACAAACTCAAAACTTGGAATTTTTGACAACCTCAACAGTCTGTAGGTGGAGGTTACAGGTGTCAGTTCCTGTTAATGCACCACAGGAAATACAGATACGGTGGTTTGGGAGTTAGTTCTAGATCAACAGATCCATGTGTAACATGCGAGCCGCAAAGTTTGTACTAAAATAAGCTGTGTAAACATGTTGGGACTATTTCTGCTGGAAAGTTGGAAAGTTGGACATGTCAACATTGAAGTCTATGGGGACTAAGTTACTCCTTGGACCCTCTGCTGGATGTTAGAAGAACTGCAGCTTTCATGCTGCTTTGATTTTTAGTCTCTCCTGTATTTGTACAGGTCAAAGCTTCAAATGAAATTCAGTGCATTTTCAGAGCAATCCCACAGACTAAAGGAACTACTTTGTGGGTCTTAGAAAAGGGAGGAGCTCGGTTTGGAGAGCTGACAGTTTTAGCTACTTCTGCAGATGAATCCAGGAAAACATTCAAAACTGTAAGTTCTCATTCTGTGGTTGGTTGAATCCATCAGTTGATTAAAAAAATGAAAGAAGCTTCATTTGAATGTGTGAATGTGAGCTGAACTCTGAGCTGACACACATTAATGATTTACATCTCCTAACAGCCTTCAAGCTGAACTTCTTAAATCAGACACTTATTAAACAGAGTCTGGTGTGACGTTACCTCAAAGGCATAGTCAGTTTTCCGGACGGTGCAGGGTGCCGCTCTGACACCTGCAGAGATAGAAATCAAGCCATCAGTTAAGGATCCACATTGATCAGGATGCACTTGTCTGCTTTTTCAGAGACTCTGATAAATACATGAATGATGTGTAGATGAGTGCAGGTTACCCTGGTGGAAGGTGTTGGAGTGAGCAGGACATCTGCACCTGTTCACACAGAGACACACAGAGCAGAAGTCATGTCACCAATCTGCACATTTAATAATAATAATAATAATAATAATGGATTGGATTTATATAGCGCTTTTCAAGGCACCCAAAGCACTTTACAATGCCACTATTCATTCATTCTTGCATTCACACACTGGTGGAGGCAAGCTATGGTTGTAGCCACAGCTGCCCTGGGGCAGATTGACAGAAGCGAGGCTGCCATATCGCGCCATCGGCCCCTCTGGCCAACACCAGTAGGCGGTAGGGTAAAGTGTCTTGCCCAAGGACACAACGACCAGGACAGAGAGCCCAGGGATCGAACCGGTGACCTTCCGGTTACAGATGCGCTTCCCAATCCCCTGAACCACGGTCGCCCCGTGAATTTAGAGAAGGTCTCTAAATTCACGACCAAATTTAGAGAAGGTTCAGCAGTTGAGTTGTTGCAGTAGCTTGTGAACATCTCATACACAGGAAGCATTTCCCTGTCATTCTTCCTCCAACCTGACAAAGATGGGTTCAGTATTTGAACCCAAACTGCCAATGTCCACTCATGAAAACATCCAAAAAGGAGACCATTAGGTTTTTATGTTAATGTCACGATGTTTCCACGTCCTATGACTCCACTACAATGTGATTGGTCATTTGCAATGTTGAACCTGGACAAAGATTAGTTTTGTTGATTCAGGAACAACACCAACACAACGATATCAGAGCGAGCATTAGATGTCAAACTGTTAGAAACTGTGCAAAATGTGAGGATGCACTGACAATTTACATGAGAGAATGTGAAAGGGGCTCTAAAAGCATTAGATATTCCAGGTGCAGCTTTACACCTGTACCTGGTCACATGTGCTCCCAGAAATCACTCAAATTTCACTTTTTTTTAATCGGAAATGTATGCAGTCACATTTGACCACACGTCAAATGTGACTGCAAAACTAGGAGTTTTAATTTAAAAAATCTTTCAGTGAAACATGTTTTTCACAGGTGAGCCGGATTTTAAAGAACTCTCCTCTGATCCAGAGCTTGTGGCCTCCTGAGCTCTTCCCTCAATAAAACTGAACTTTAACCGGAAAATTCAAAAACGCTGTTATCTTTGAGCGGACTCTGGCACACTCTGTCTCCGCCCCTCGAAGGAAACCATTAACAGTTCTTTTCAGTCTGGATGAATCTATTTCCGGTTCGAATTTAACTTACGCCGCGCGCTCGAGTTGCCTAAGCAGGTGAACGACCCGGTCCCGACCCGCCATGTCCAAGATGTGAATGACCCTCTGCAACGAGCAGCCGACCCCGGTCAACAGGTTGCTTCCGCCTCTGATTTTCACAATAAAGGCCGCTCAGACACATTAGAAGCACGAGGACAGACGTAGAAAACACCCGCTGGGCTGTCATTATTATTATTATTATTGTTGTTGTTATTATTATTATGACAAAATAACGAAATCAAGGCAATAATTCCTCACATGGTACAAAAAACTTTAACACAAAAATACTGATATGAATATAAATATAAATCACAATATTTAGATATAATTTACTGTGTATGAGAAAGTAAAATGTTTAATATGTGTATATGCTTCATTACATTCACAAATTTACAAATACCCAGTAAGAAATAGATATAAGAAAAAAAATCATGTGCATGGACTGAACATGAGGTATTTGCAGGCCATGTGTATACATATTTTATGTATATCCTGAGGCTTTTAGTTGTTTGGAGTTGAGGAGTACAAAGTGAACTTTATTTACATATTATAAACTGTAGTAGTTACGTGGGCAAGGGATAGGATGTGGGATTGGGCAGAAGACTGTTGCACATGAGGGTGGTACATAGGTGCTGCGGTGTCAGGTTCAGGGGTGCTACAGTCCTAGGGAACAAGTTGTGTTTCAGTCCGTTTGTGTGTGTTTGGCTAGTTTTTAAAAATGGAAGCAGCGTGAACAAATGGTGTCCTGGGTGTGTACCATCTTCATGGATTTTCCCAGCCCTCTTCACAAAAGTGGTGTAAAGATGACCCAGAGATGCCAGCTGTTAGCTGACATTGTTTTGTCCTGTTTCCACAACACGCTGGGGGGCCTTTTTGTCACTTTTGGCGCGACTACCATACCGGACAGTCATGGAGGTTGTTAGGATGCTCTGTAAAGTTGACCTCCAGGAACCTGAAGCTGAAGTGAATGTACGAATATTGGTTTTAATTCTCATCAGCCTGCAGCAGCATAGAGGACTTATTTTTAGATACATGTATTAAGTCACATTCAGGATATTTTCGCCTTTTCCCTTTTTTAACAATAAAACAATAAATCAAAGAAACACAAAGAGTGATGCATTGTAGTGATAATGTGTCAGAACAGGGACTCAAACTAGCAGCCTTCAGCCTCTTCTGCAGGCTTGCTCATTCACACCTATTCACACCTAGCTGCCCACCATAACATCCCTGTTTACAGTCAGTCCTGCATTTTACTCCATTAGCTGCAAATGAGTTGAAGTAACACTTAAACAAGTTTCTCTTCTGATGGACTTTGCTTTGTATCACAAAGTGGCTTGTTATAGTGTCACTACTAGTGAAGTTTTCTACTCAGCTTCACTTTTAAAAGGTAGAAATTTGTTGTGTGGATCAAGTGCTGTTCATCTTCTTTCGCTGTAGGGGTCGCCACAGCTCATCATATGCTTCCTTTCACGTTATCATTGGCATCACACCTCTGCGTTGGGGTATGAGTCTCGCTACGGCTGTGTTTCAGGTTCAAATCCCGTACGAGCCCTGGCAATCTCGCGTCAGGGTTTCTTCATGTAGTCTGTTCATGTTATCATGTTGTGTTTAACACAATGTGCATGTCCCGTATGTGCACGTCTGTGTGCCCCCAGTACAGGTGCAAATGTGCGGGCGAAATTCCAGTTTTATTTTGCATAAATGAAATGTGCAAAACACAATTTTAAAAATCTGAGCAAACAGAGGTCTCCTGTTTTCCAACGTTTTCCTGGAAAACAGGTAATGTGAGGTTCACACACAAGGGTACAGATGAAATTATGTCGCTGCTAATTAATTAAAAAATATTGAGGCCAGACAGAGTTCGTCATGCGGAATATTTGTGACACTTTTATTGGATTTGTTACATTTGGTACCGGGCTGGCAGCATGGTCTCTGTGGCGCAATCGGTTAGCGCGTTCGGCTGTTAACCGAAAGGTTGGTGGTTCGAGCCCACCCAGGGACGGCAGTTTTTGCTAGAAATGTTAGATAGGGGTTAAAAGCAAGCCAAACAGCTTTGCGATAACACAGATACGTCCTGCTTGGTTGGGAATTAACAGCTGGCACAAACGTTGTCTAATGTTGTGTTTTCTCTGAGGTCATCTGATTAACTAAGTAAAACTCTTAGATCATCTAATTTAGCTTTCTGTGAGAATACCATGAGTAATTAACAGATCACTACTAACCACTAATTCAAAGCCACTTCCTGACATAACAGGTTTATCCAGGATTTGATTCTTACAAAGTGAGAATCAAATCCTGGACATAGAGTCACAAAGGCCTACCGTAACTTTCAGCTGTCTAAAGAAACGTTCTTAAACAGAAGGAAAGTCAAGCATACACAGTGGGTCAGCTGCTCCATTTTCCAATCAAAATGTAAATACATCTTTTTATGTTATACATGATTCATTATGTAAACAAATAACAATGTGGAAGAAACTCTAATTATGTCAGCCTCTCCGGAGAGAGGAGCATTTATAGGACCAATATCTTCTAATTAAAGTGATTGAAGATGTTGGGTGATGCACACAGTGTCGTTAACAGATTAGAAACATTCACAGCAGTACACACACGCATACACACACAAATTATTTTTATCCCTGCTCCCTCAAGTCAGCATGCTTCCCGTAAGCTCTCTACGTGCTCGCCCTAAATGTGTAGATGACTGCAGCGCAGTGGGTAAAACTATAAATAGAAGATAAACAAAATCCCCCCATGTCTGTTTGCAGCTTGACCCCATTACTGAACAGATGCAGGATTTTTTCATATAGTTGTATTATTTACTGCATTATATATAAGCTTCTACTGAAGGTTTAGTTAGAAGAGAAGCAAATTCCAATACGTCACGAGTTCAAATTCCTTTGCTGCCTTCTCTCATTTGTGAGTTGGTAAAACTTTAGTCATGCGAGACTGGAATGAAGCCAGTCACATGAAGAGTCTTAATGTCTAGATTGCATTGTGATTCTGTTCACTGAGTCGAATAACATTTAGTGTTTGACTCAATGATAATTTATGCATGGTGTAAAGTATCACACTCATTCTTAGTCTGACTTTATTTGGAATTTAAAAGTGTATTCATCTAATCCCAATATCTTCATCACTCATTCCGAACACCTTGGTGTCCCCTTAGAAGAAGGTCTGGTCATGTTTTCTTACACTGCTACCCCCAAGACCCAGACAAGCAGAAACTAGGACATTGATTGACTGATTTTTCTTAATTGCATTTCTGCATTAAAACGTAAGTGGAAACATAATTTTGCATGGTTATTTTCTGAAATATTCAGAAAAAATTCTCTCTCTCTCTCTCTCTCTCTCTCTCTCTCTCTCTATATATATATATATATATATATATATATATATATATATATATATATATATATATATATATATATATATCCAGTAAGGGTCCTAAGGCTATACCCCCTACGCTAAGCGAGCCTACCGCAGACATGAGCGAGACAGATAAATATGAAGACATGCCGGCTCGGACGTCGCCCGGATCAACAAGGTCCGCGTCAGGTGTTGAGGAACCAGGGCACCCTGACGAAAAGTGGGCTACTGGAACAAGAAGGCATCGGTGGGCAAGGGACGAAAACAGGGCGTTGTTGGAATGCTACTACGCAAGTAACCCCGGCGGAAGGGGCTACATGAATAGGATGAGGGACCTATGGATTCTTCGATACCCAACATCCACAATGACGGCAAAACAACTAGTAGCTCAGTGTTCCAACATTCGAAAGAAGGGACTGCTCTCACAGCTAGAGATTGACGAGGTACAACACAAATGCTACGGCAAGGAGGAGTCAGCACGCCAGGTCAGGGGGGAGATATCATCACCCCCACCCGAGATTGGGTACATAGCCCCAAGTGCGATAGGAGAAGGATCGTTGAGTGCGAGAGGAACTGACTTGAAAAATAGGATCATAGCCAAGCTTGAAACCTGGATCCCCCGTAGCCGGTTACCAAGATTACGTGAAGTACCCTCAGAAGGTCTGCTAGATGATGTTAATGCAGCACTACGGGCAATACTTACCGACACTAACACGCTGATCTACAATACGGCAGCAGTGATCAGTGAGATGCTTGGCTACAAGTTGAACAGCGACAAGGGGCAGTACCCTCCATGGAGAAGGAGGCTAGAGGGCAAGATCAAAGTAGCACGGAGGGAGGTTAGCCAACTAACGGAGTTGCAGCAAGGTGCGACAAATAAGGTGCCTAAGAAATACAGCAAGCTGTCCATACCTGAGGCCTTGGAAACTGCCAAGCAAAGACTCAGCCTTGGCCAGCCACTTGAGGAGGTACACCAGAGAGATAGAAGGCAGGAGAATAAACCAGCTGTTCTCCACAGAACCAGCAAAGGTGTACTCTCAGTGGCAAGGGAACAATAAGAGAACAGCACCACCAAGGCTGGAGACGGAGCAATACTGGAAGAGCATATGGGAGAAGGATGCAACCCATAACGGCAATGCTCAGTGGCTAGAGGATCTGAGGGCAGACCACAGCGACCTCCCTGAACAGGGTCCAGTAACCATCACAGTGGCAGATATCCAAGAAAGGGTCTCCAGTATGAAGAGTTGGACAGCACCAGGGCCCGACATGGTTCACGCCTACTGGCTGAAGAAGCTGACTGCACTCCACGAGCGTCTGGCAGCACAAATGAACCAGCTGCTAGTTAACAAGAGACACCCGGAATGGCTAACTGAAGGCCGGACGGTCCTGATCCCCAAGGACCCCAAGAAGGGACCGGTCCCCTCCAACTACCGACCAATAACCTGCCTCAGTACTACATGGAAGCTCCTGTCAGGCATCATATCGGCTAAGATGAACAGGCACATGGGTCAATACATGAGCGGGACACAGAAAGGAATTGGCAAGAATACCAGAGGCGCAAAACACCAGCTACTGGTAGACAGAACAATCAGCCGAGACTGCAAGACCAGACTGACCAACCTGTGCACTGCCTGGATTGATTACAAGAAGGCCTATGACTCAATGCCCCACAGCTGGATACTGGAATGCCTAGAATTGTACAAGATCAATGGGACCCTAAGAG